AGACAGCTATGACTCACATGTGTTATTGGTCTCGCACCAGGTCCGTTCAATGTCTCGTCCTATCAAACTCTACTGAAAATTAAAAGAAAATTTTGTAATATATGCAAGGGTGCTCCAGTGACGCATGCCAGCCCTGGGCACCGCGGCGCAGTTTATGAACCCGTCTTTGACTATTTCTATTGGTAATAAGAAATAACTTAACGGAGGCCATTTTAGAGTTAATTGTAATTGAAAACCAAAATTGCCTCTTGCCAATTACTATACATCGCTTTAAAAAAATAAAATGCGTAGTGAGTTTATTTCGTTAATATGCAACGAAGAAGTTTTCAATAAATAAATAAATAAATAAATATATATATATATATATATATATATATATATATCTATATATATATCTATAATGGACTTCGCTATAAAGCAATGAATGTGTGTAACATAAACAAAGACAGTACAGTTACAAATGATAATAGCCTGTTTCATTTCCCTTTACATCAATATATAAAAAAAAAAAAATTGTCATCAAAGACATTTTTTTATCCTTCAAAAATCGTCTAACTAAATGGCGCTGCAAACTCCGTGATGGGGACTCATTCACACTCCAACATTATTCAAACGCTGGTCAAGTCGGTTATATTAAGTAGCAATGGAACAAAGCCCCTACTGATGGATGATGGATGATGGGCGCTGGTGTTCCAAGTCAGGGTCAACGTATAAAATTAACTGGAAGATTCGGAGATAAGGGAAAGATGCCACTGAGCCGGCAAGAGGAGTTTTAGTTTTGAAAAAAAACAAAACAAAAAAACTCGTTCTACAGGTAGGTCTTTTCCTTGTTGGTGTGTCCCAGCCAGTGTTTTAGCATTGTGTTTAGGGTTGCTCATTTCACGGGTTTCTTTCTTACCCCGGGAAAATGGGAATAGAGTTTTCCCTCATCCCGGGATGAGATTGGTTTAATTTTAAATATGTTGTAAACTGAAATTAACTATGAAAGCAGTTGATTTTAATTGTTTCTAAATTGTTTTGTTTTTTTCCCTTTCTGTTAATGAATTTAAAAAAAAAACAAAAACAAAAACAAAAAAAAACAATGTTAAGGTTAGTTGAGAGGTTCGTTAATTGCTAGTAGTTGCTTCATCTTCACCTCCGTATTCCTATCAATGGTTAACTAGCTAACAACATGATCGTTAAGCTCCTCAAGTCGGATATAACCGCCAGTTGAAACAAAAGAAGAGATCACATTGCTTCAATGTGATCATGACTGGATAGCACTTGAGCGCCTGTGTACTAGAGCTGCTGGGCTTAGTCATTCGTGGCATTTAAGTAGATTGTACAGGTCTTGGCTCATAGTGATAATTTGTGACAATCTGTGAACTACTGAAATTTAAAATGTAAACAACAAGAAAATTGTATCCTGAAAGTGGGGACACGAGATTTAACCGGGATGGGAAAATTTGGCGGGAAGTATTTTGTTTGCTAAAAATCTTGTGGGATCCCGGGAGAGAAACCCTGATTGTGTTGATGCGAGTATTCATTTCATGCCATAGCCCAGTGTTTCCCAAAGTGTTGTACGCGTACCCCTGGGGTACGGAAAGAGTTTGGTGGGGGTACGCGCTGCAAAGAAACAAATACATACTGTATATTTTTCTATTATTATTAAATTATATGCAATTTTTTTTAACGAAGGGTACTCAGTACTACGAAAATTATAGACAATGGTACACAGATATTGAAAGTTTGGGAAGCACGGCCATAGGCCCTGTATATTCTAGTCTAAGGCTACATATTTTTTTTAATGTAGAGCCGATTGTAACTTATAGGGTATCTGCTAAAAAAAAAAATTAGGAACCCGCAGACAGTGGTGTGTGTACTGGTAGAGCGAATGTACACATTACACTTGAACTTATTTTTTTTTAACATCTGAAAATTAAATTTAGATACTGTATTAAATATACAGGAGGCATGCAGATATCGTGTTGGTGCACTACAAACTCTCTTAGACCAGTGGCGTAGCCAGAGTGAGTGCCGCCCAAACACGCTAAAAAAAGTACGCAGTTGGCTAAAATTCCGCCCGTATTATATGTAGAAAAAAGTGCTTATTTACGTAATGTTTAGTGCGTCATATTTTGCTCTACTTGCCGTAGGTCTCCTTAAAGATTGTTTCCAATCACGGCCTTCCTGTGTTCAATGAGAAACAAGCGGAGATCACTCTATGTATCATAAATAAGTGTACTTTTTTTTTTTTTTAAATATTGTTTTGAAAATTATTCGTATTATAGAGGTTATATGAATTGTGTAGATTAAATTTTAATTAGAATTAGTTGATCAGTGTTTTTTAATTATTTTTTGTTGTTGGAAGTGTGATATACTTTTTTTTAAAATTGGGTTGGTAGTTAGGTTGTTAGGGGAGTTGGTCCAAGATTTGTGTCAGATTGTGGCAGGGCGGGGGTAAATTGCCTAAAAATAGCGTGACTTATATAATATATATATTATGGACGAACCTTTAATGTGAATAACGTCAGAGGCTACTATACAACAATTTTTGTTGTTCGTCCGTCAAAATTGTCTAGGACCATCGAGTCATCCGGTTAGGGGGAAGGGTGGGTTACGGTGAGCTCGTAGGTGGCTTGTTAATCCGATCCGTGCTCGGAATAATCTCTGACACCGCGGGTAGGGGATAGGTGCAGTCGGTGATCTAATGTTGCTCTTTCGGGCGATCCTGCGTGTTTCGGCTGTGGTTATCCCACTGGTTAGCCCCCTTCTTGAAAGCTGCTCTCCACCTGGCTCTGTCCTATGCTGTCTGCACCCATATCTTCCATACGGGCTACGTGTCCCATTCAACGGAGTTGAGACTGCATCAGGGTGGTGAAAATATTATAGGTATTATAGCGAGGACCTCTGTGTCAGGAACTTTGTCTTGCCACCTGATGCCGAGGAGTTTCCTGCGGCTGGTTGTGTGAAAATGGTTCAGTTTCTTGGCGTGACGCTGGTAGACTAAACAAATATTAACTAAAAGATGTACAAATTGTTGGAAAATTGATTTCCTTTTCATGTGAACCAATGAGGATACTGTATTATCATTGTAACTTTTTGTTTTTCCACGTGACCACATTTGCAACGACACCGCAGACAATCCACACGTCCTAGCTAGATATTGCCCTGCTGGGATAGCGTGCCCTGACCGTGAGGCAGCAGGGAGAAGTACTGAGAAGAAGCAAAGCTGAGCCTTTAGGTATCTGGACCTTTGCGCCTCTGTGCATTGTTGCCGCATATGAACGTTTCCTAAATAAATTTCTCCAGTCACGTATAGCCTATTTTCTAATCTGACCCACTTAGCAGCCTGTGGTGTGTACATGTGGTGTTAAATTCAGTGTAAGTCAGATGTTGAGTATGAGGTTTCTGTCGCTTAACAGTTTCAAGCCCACTTGAATTAACTTAGACGCAGTGACGTCACCAAATGACGAGATTATGATGTCAATTAATTTAATTTAATTTTTTTTTCATTATTTTTTTTTTTTTTTTTTTTTTTTTTTTGGGGGGGGGGGGGGGGGAATAACAATCAAAATTAAGATGAAGGTTGTGTGCGTGTGTGTGTGTGTGTGTGCGCGTGCGATAAAACTTCAAATACAATGACAATGGTGCGATCAAATAATTGACCGAGATATAAGATAACCACATTCCCGTAACGTACCACCCCCCCCCCCCACCCCCCACATACAAGTCAATCAGCTGTCAAGCCAAGTGGCTCACTCGGAAGTTCACAAGCGGGTTGAAGCAAGTGGGCAAACATGCTCGTGTGCAGCAAAGCGTATAACAGGAACTTCTAGGCGTACCCACGGGAACTTCTAGGCCTACCAACGGGAACTTCTAGGCCTACCATCGGGAACTTCTAGGCCTACCAACGGGAACTTCTAGGCCTACCAACTTCTAAAAAGTACATTTAACAAAAAATAAGAAGCAACTAATGGCAATAAAAAGCTTAAATAAATATAACTGATTAAAACTCAATAGACTAAGTACAAAATAATTATTTTCTGTATTTTTATTCTATTTTAGGTTACCAGACTTGATTAAAAGGGATTTTTTTTTTTTAAGTGATACATTTGTTTCTTAGTTCATCAAATTTTTTTCGTAAAATGTACTTTAAAAAGTAAAATCTCTGGGCGACAATGATAAATTGAATAATCCCGATGGAGTGTAATTCTTTTTAATAGTTTAATGCCCAATGTAATTAGGAGTTGGCGTCCATTGACAATGGCATCCGGGGTTTGTGTCCGCTAGTTTCCACATCTGTAGGACTTTGTTAATTATTGAAAAATCGTTCATGCCCTACATTTACTATAATATATATATTGTGTAACCCTCACTGCAGTACAATGCATGTGTTCAAAATTGCCTTTGGGGAATCTTAAAAGAAAAATAATGATGATAAAATAATGAGCAAGGAACTCTAATTTTAATAAATGAGAATAATTTTACATATGTTTTTTTTTTCAATTCAACGTTTTACAATAATGAATTCCTGGCCCATACCTTGCAATCAGGCTGAAAATGAAGAAAAGAGGGCGGTGGGGTGAGGTGGCAGTGTGACATAACATTGGTTATGAGTTATCTTGACAATCTTTTATGTGGAGGGAGGAGCTACATTTATTTGGAAAATCTGCAAAAATATACATCGATTAGCTTTATAATTTGGCTTTAGTGTGTATAAACTTTAATGATACAAAGCACAGAACTATAACTAACATTTGGATCAGCCACTCGGCGCCTTCGGGCGTCGCTTGATCTCACCAACAAATTTGATAACAACAATTTGAAATAGAGTGGTAAATTATTACACCAGATATGAGACTAGCACCTTTGAGAAGAATTATTTACATCCACCTGAATAAACGGGTAACTCAGCATAATTTATTTTATATGTCTTAACAATTTGTAGGTTGAAAGTAGCGAATTCAAACAGGCATACTTTATTGGAATAATGTGTTTATCTCCCAGGGTCAAAGGTCAAGAGAGAAAAATATGGAAGACTTGTGTTATTGCACGCTAGTGACTAATGCGCCATTCGGCTGTTTTAAAGTTATTCATTTTGTTAAAATACTAACAAGAAGTCATCAATGGGTTTGTATGGTTTGCTAATTTCTTTTAATAAACAATAATTAGAAACATGAATTGTGAAAGAGATTATTGATAGTGTCAAACTCCCCTACCCCTGCCTAGACTTCGACATTGACATTCATAATAATCTTTACACTTTACTAGTAAAAATCTACGGCACGGCTACGCCTCCACGGGTCGACTTCACTCAGACTCGGACTCACTACTCATATACTGACTCAGTCAGCAGTAAGTTACATGTTAGCCTACGCTTATAAACACATTCCTCAACTCAGAGTCTGACTATAACCAATAGGCCTATTTACTTATTAACTATTATAATTAACCAGTATTTACTTGTATTGTAGACCTACCTAAAACAGTCATCATGAGGAGTCAAGCAAAGTGATTTATAAGATGAATTTTTTTTAAATTTGGGCCCTTTCTTATAGCTTGCTACTACTTGGATTACTATAAGGCAGGGGTCTCCAAACTACAGCCCGCGGGCCGCATATGTGGCCCGCGAGGCCCTCTCATGCGGCCGCGATACCTTTTTGTCTAAGGAAAAAATTACGGAAATGTACGTGTATCCTGCCAAGATCAGACGCCGCTTACATGGACATTATGTATTTAAAATTTACCTAATTAAAAATAGAGGCGCGAAGTATTGCTTTATATGTTTTCTAACCGATCATTGCTTTGTAAAACCTTATTCGCTGCTTCGTTTTTCTACTTCCGTTCACAGTCAATGAAATGAGAATATATAACGCCATCTAGTGGCGAAGCTTTGCCCACCGTATGCAGACATGGGTGAAAACATTGTGACTCAAATAGTGAAAAATGCAAGAAAGTTTCGCCAATTTTTAATTTCACTGGATGAATTGCTGGACAGCTGTTGCACCTCTCAACTGCTTGTGTTCGTTAGGGGGGTGTGGATGAAGACATGAACATAACACAAGAGCTGGCTTCCCAAAATAACATGTACGGAACTGTTACCGATGAGTTGAAAAAAAAAAATTGCTGATTATAACTTGGACAAGGAGAGGAAAATCTAGTTTCTGATGTATACACCCACCTAAAGGCCTTCAGATCAAAATTTGTCTATGTTTTTTTGAACAAATACAGGCTAACAACTTGACGCACTTTCAGCAGTGGACGGTCTTCATGGCTGAAAAAACAGCGGAGTTCTCCACGTCATTTGGATGGGAGATCATCAAAGACCTCCAGTTCTTACTTGAATTTAAAGGCAGAAGAAGTGAGACTGTTTCAAAACCCATTTGAAACAGATGTGGCCAGTCGCCCAGATGAATTGCACCTGGAGGTCATTGAGTTGCAAGCAAATGGCCTCATTAGGGACACGTTCAAAGAAGGACTGGTGGGTTTTTACTAGTTTTCGCCCAAGGAAGACTTTCCTAATTTCAAAACTTTTGCATCAAAGTACCTTTCAATCTTTGGAACAACATACCCTTGCGAACAAACATTTTCAAGAACGAAATACTAATACGTGAAGTACAATTTGAGAACAAATTTGTCCGATGATAATCTCAGGTCACTGTTGATGTTAGGGACATAAAAATCTAAATCCAGAAATGTCTGCTAATTACTGCTATTTTGGTATCCAGGAAACAATTTCACCATTCTTACTAATACAGGTGTTCATGTGTGGGTTATCAATGTGTTATTAAATAGTATCCGAATGAAATAATAATACATAAATAATTAAAAACAACATCCTTGTTTTGATTCTTTTTTATTTGGACCTCGAGTTTGTAGTCGGCCCCCGAACTGCTGTTTGATAGTTAATGCGGCCCTCTGGCTGAAAAGTTTGGAGACCCCTGCTATAATGCATAAAGATTAGCACTAGAATTGAGTAATTAAATCAGAGACCATCAGAGAAGAATCAGAAAACATAGGCCTCAGTCTCTCTCACACAGGGCACAGGGGATTAGGCTTAGGACAATGATAATGATTCAAATGAATGACTGACATGTGCAGAATCCGATATTAAAAAAACTTTTAGGTTAGACCTATAATTTTAAAAAAAACAAAAAACTATTAATAAGACATAGACAGTGAATGTTGGTTTGATAAACCACTCATTTCTCATGGTTGCCATCTTGACTCGTAACAACCAAGATGGAAGCCTTTAAATTTAACTAAAAAAAGTAGTGCATACACACCTCTGCGAACATGGGGAGAAGAAATAGAGAGAATGTCCTGTTTTAGCTACTTAGAAAGAAAAACAAAAATAGGAACAAACGTTAAAATTTAATAAAATAATTTCAGCCGTCACATTAATTTCCTGGCGAACATAGTTACTTTATTGTATCCCTCTAGATATGCGGCAAGAAGTGTCAACGAAGTGCTATCGTCCCCTTTCATGGCATAATTTCAGCCGGTACATTAACTTAGTGACGAACATAGCAACTTTAGTGTATCCCTCGCTAGCTGGCGTAATTTCAGCCACTACATTAATTTCGTGGCGAACATAGCAACTTTATTGTATCCTTCTAGTTATGCTGCACGAAGTGTCAACGACCTCCGGTCTCTCCCTTCCCTCAACTAAAACAAGTGTGCTACAGTTACATACTGTGGTAAGAAAAGTGTAATGAAGAAAAACAATATAAATTTTTGTTTAGTAATGATAAACCAAATTACAGTTTCATATAATACACTTTTACACACTTTATTGCAGGTTCCGACAAAAATAAAATCCATAATTTGTCAGAAATCAATACAATACTCATTTTACAAAACTCTGAAAATTATTGAAATTATAATCTAAAACATTGTATCCTCTATTAATATTAAAAAAAGAAAAGGTAACTCTAGTAACTCTCCAAGAATTAACTAAAGGGAAGTATGTGCAGCATGGTAGTAAGGCACTCTGAAGCCAAAGGATTCCAATTAAATGTTGAAGTAACTTAATTTTTTTTTTATTTCTAAAATTTTGAAAATATTTTCTGTACAGACTTTCTTTGCTTTATGAATGTTAGGAAAATTATTTTCTACTTTTTAATGCGTTTAAACTCCTTGTTAATAGAAAGTCTTTTGTAAAAAAAATATATTTTCTACTTTTTAGTATGAAAATGTTCATCTGTAAATAATCCACAAAAGAATATTTTGTTTAAAAACAAAGAATGCTTTCAAAATCCAGCTTATAATGACTTAGCTCTTCACCTTAGAAAGTGTAAATGTCAATTTTGTTGCTTTTCTAAGCCAGTAGACTAATTATTTTAAAAGCAATGTCTTTTTTTTTCCACATAGCATTTTTGAAATGCTCTACATTACAAACTTTGTTTCACTTAAAAACCATTTTGTTTATTTTGTGAAACTTAAGATTACTTAACCTTCTTAATAATGTTACATCATGATATATTTGCAGATTGCATGAACAAGTGATTTGGAATCAATTCCCCCCGTGTTTGATGCCCAGCTTTAGTGCTACCAATTATGTGGTCAACTTCTTATAAATGATGGTTATGTAAAGTTCCCTATTTGTCAACCAGCATCATGTCTCACCTTGGTGAGCAAGAGAAGCTAGTCAATGATTACTCATCTGAGCGTTTCATAGATGAGAGTGACAGCGATGAACCAGAGAGTGACCATCTCATCCAAGAAAGCAGATCACAGAACGTGAATGATATAAATGATAAGGTCACCGGAGGCAGCCTGATGAAGCCAAGCCAAAATGTTGAAGAGAATCCTCATGTAAATGGTAATTATTCTTCACCGTCCACCATCAGTCCTGGTTCAGATGACTTGGGCAGTGAAAAAAGTTCCAACAAATTTGTTAAGTTCTTTGGAGGCAAAGATATATATGACCTGAAAAGTACAGATGCTACACCTGTTGTGGTGTCTCTTAAGCCACTAACGAGCAGCGAGGACCAGATGTCACAAGACAATAACGATTGTAATACTTTTTCAGATGACTCGCCTGCCATTTTGGACTTAGGTAGACCTTATAACACTACTGAGCCGATAAGCTCAGGGAAAGACAATGACAGCACTAGTCCATCAGATTCTAATGAAGCTAAGTCACCTTCTACTGTAGAGCCATCTGAGCAAGGTGGCCATAAGCACTTTGATGTGACTAATGTTGATGAGTCAGCACTAAAAACTGAAAATGAAGTCAAAGACCAAATATCTGATATCAAGTCTGAATCTCAAAGACCATCACTTTTAAAAGTTGCAAGCTCCACATCAGATGGTTTTTCTGGCCAAAGTAATATCAGTTATAACCAGGATACAATCGGACCCTTGGATAATCCTGATTTCCTGAAGAGACTACAATACTCTGTCAGGTAAGTTCTTTGCAAGGGAGTAAGAGGCGTATCTAACTTCATGTTGTATATATTACATTTATTTCGAATCTTTGTTTTATAACATGTTTGTTGTTAAGCTACTACATGTATATCTCTTATACACAGGTTGTAAAATGTTCTTTGCTAGATAGTCAGGTCATTTTAAGCATTGTTTTGAAATACTCTGATTTCAGCCAAGCTGTTGATGATGATGGATTTGGCACAGGTAATCTAGATCTAGACGAGTTTGCTGGAGAAACTCAACAGACTGTCCCAGATATGGATGGTGGCTGGGCTTGGGTTGTACTTTTTGCAGCGTTCTGTTCATTAGCTCTGACTGGTGCTACAACTTTCACAGCAGGTAGTTATACATATCTCCTACAACTTTAATATATATATTTATATATATAACTTTTTATGTATATTATCTACTAGGTAGTTTTTAGTCATGATTTCTTTTTTCATACTTGTAAAACCTCACCTGTACAAAAAAAATTGCTGCAGAAACCTCAACGAGAAGAAAAAAAACAAACAATTTCAACCCTGATTCTTTCCCAAGAAGAGTTATGAAGCCTTGTGGCCAAAGCCAGGTTATACGAGAAGCCTCAAAGCCGAAAACCCTCCTTTCAAATGCAAAAGATGGAGGTGGATAGGGCACACTCTTCGTCGTAAACCCCCATATAACGTCATCTAACACGATCCCTAACATATACTCCTTGAGAGATAAGGGAAGAGAGGAAGGCCAAAGAACACATGGAGACACTAGCTAGAGGCAGACACTCCAAGTATTGGATACACCCGGAAGCAACTGGAAGCAACTGGAAAGGGAAACAGTTTCGAGATGAATAGAAAAATTATTGTAGACAGCCTATGCCCCAGGCAGGGTAAAAGGCATAAGAAGAAGAAGATTGAATTTCTTTCTACTTCTACATTAATTGACATTTCTATTCAAGCAAGTCATACAAAAGAATTAAAATAATTTATTATTTGATTTGAACAATGAAATGTAAGAAATTAATTAATCATTTTTCCTTTTACTGTATGTTTATTTAACTATAATAATGAATAAGTACAGCGAATTATTTATTCTGTTATGTTGTTGCAGGTGTTTTAATGTCAGCTATCTTGGAACAAATTGAAGATGACATAACTAAGGCCTCGTGGATTGGAGCTGTACATGTCAGTGTTTTATGCATGTCAGGTTTGTAGTGCTAAAGGTTGCTTGCAGCTAAATATTCAGACATATTCCATTCTAGCAGTTAACTATTTTACTTTTTTTTTTTTTAAACTTTATTTTTTTGTCTTTTAATTTCTTGTTACCCGGTACTGTCATAAACCTAAAAATGAAAAAAAGCTCCACATTCCTTCACAGGTCCATTTGTAGGCATAGTGCTGTCTCGTCTTGGTTCCCGGTGGACAGTGTTTTGTGCTGGCTTAATCCTGTCCTCAGGCCTCATTGGTGCTTCGTTTGCCACAACAATTGGACAGTTGATCATTTCCCATGGACTTGTTGCAGGTACCATAATTTATTATTTTTTATCTTTGATTTTTTTGAAATAACAACACTTACAAATATTTTAGATTAAGGTTACTTTCATTTAAAATCTGGATCTCCGGAGAGATAAGTGTTTAAAAAAAACTATTGCAAGCTTAATTTGAACTTCAGCTCTTTGCTACCATCTTTTTTGCTTATTTGTCCATCATCTCATTTCAGGCATGGGTTCTGGCTTTATATTAAACACCATGTTTGTGACCGTTGGTCAGTATTTCAATCGTTATAGAGGTTTGGCCTGTGGATTATTGGCAACTGGGTCAGGCGCAGGCATGTTGGCAGGTATTTGAGAACTCATAGTTTTTTTTAAAGGTTTTATTTTGAATCCTCTCGGTCAGGACTAATCTTGCATTTATAAATATTTTACAAATAAAATTTAATGCAAAGCATCAGTCAAGTATATTTATTTTAAAATCTATTTAAGGGACATTGGTCTCAATATGCTATCAGTTATTTTATGATCTATTTTTCTTAACCAACTAATAAATAATGTATCTCTACTGAGTTTCTTTTTTTATTACTTTGTAAAATAATACATTTTATGAAACAGCCTTTGTCATTCTTTGTTGTCTTGTTGTTTCTTAACCAGGTGGAAATGCACTTAATCTTTTGTTTAAAAGCTATGGTTTAAGTGGCACATACCTGCTGTGGGGTGGCATAACATGCCACACCATGGTGTTTGGCTTACTGCTGCGCCCATCTCCAGAGGAGCGCTTGAGGGAGGCAGAAAAGCAAATGGCAAAAGAACCTGAAAGGTTTAATATCATCAGTCAACAAGACTTGAGGAGTGGACGCAATAGTGTGATTAGTGGTCTGAATAGTCAGTACAGTGGTGGAGACCAGCAGAGTATTTTCAGTGGTGGGCCTGGTCGAAAGCTGCAGAGATACCCTAGTAAACATAGCAAAGGGGATTTAAGTGTTGCTCCATTATTGAAAGCTGTACTCCACAAAGAAATGTCTCGCTCTAGCTATTCAGTTGCAACGAATCGTTCCAGAAAATCTCAAAAAAAATCTGCGCCTCCTGCTAGCCCCTCTACAGGGAGTAAATTTACATTTGGCCCTGCCAATCCTGCTAATGATGCCTCTGGGACCTCTACTCCAGGTGCCACGCCAATGTCCCACAACCCTCACACTTTCAGCCCCTTCACCTCTCAAGATCAAGGGGATCAGGCATCACCCAACAAAAAGCTTGGTTCACAGAATCAAGAAAGTGTCTTCTTATCCAGTTCAACTTTAGGAAACACTAACATTCCTGAAAGTGATACCTCCAGTGTCATCCACGCTCCTTCATCTCCCTCCAACAGCCAGGCGCCCACTGAATATGGGCGTTCATTCCGTCGTCGCCTGTTGTCTCAGTCTTCGCAGGCTCAGTCTCAATATTCTATCAGCCGCCTGAGCCAGCGTCCCTCAATAAGAGAGCAGTTGCAGAGGAATGATTTAGACAATGAATCTTTGGCTTCGACTTTAGTTTCTCACCTCCAACCACGAGATGCTTTGACACCTCGACACAGGCTTGGCTCTCGTAGCATCTCATCAATGATGGGCAGCATCTCCAGCTTTCCTACTGCCCTTGCTATTGTCAAAGATGACTTATCAAGACTAGAGAATGTGGATGGGCCTATGAATAAGGTAAGTCATTGATAATTTTGTTTCTAGCTTGGGGTCATATTATGGTTTTTCAGTCGTTACAATTACATTTTAGATCCCATTTCACTAAAAATAAATATTATGTTTTAATTCTGAAAAAGGGCCACCTTCAGAGTAAAGGGAAGTTGCTTTTGTCTTCATAAAATACTTGTTAATTTGCATAAGACAAGAATAGAACCAGAATAATACAACCTATCAATGATTTTACATTAAATTATGTTAATCATTTGTTGTTGTTTTTTTAATTTAATAGATACTGTATCTTTTTATTATAACTCTTATTTCCACCTTGTCCTTCTCCAGACCATAGAGCAACATCTATCTGCTCTATTTGATTCACTACGTCTGCTGAAACATAAATCATTTTTAGTGTTCATCACAACAAGTTTCTTGTGGGCTTTTGGTGAATCTCCTTTTACAATGTATCTCCCTGCTTACTCCATAAGGTAAATTATGCTGGGTTTTTTTTTGGTTTTTTTATTAAAGGGGTGGGGAATCACCCAGCTTCTGAGTTATTTTTGTTTCTACTGTAGTTAGTTCTTAAATAAGAAAATGAAACAGATGAAATCATTTTAATCAATTAAAATATTGATTAACGATAACAATAAAATAATTTTGACCCTAAGAACTTTTTTATACAAAAAAAAAAAGAATCTTCCTCAGTTTCACTGCTGAAATATTTGAAATGTTATGTTTTTGTGGGGCGGGGTTTTACGTTTAAAAAAAAATTATTTCTAATTTATTTTTTCCAAATTATCAGCAAAGGGACTTCAGTAACTCAGGCCTCATCCTTATACACAGGAATGGGATTTGGCTCCATGTGTGGAAGATTTTTATCAGGGCTGGTGGCAAGTGATAGTGGCGTTGGCCCTATTCTTTTACACATTGGTGTGTTGCCTCAGTATTTTCTAACAAAAAAATTAATCTAGGAATAGATAGCTGTTATTAAAATAATTTTTCAACTTTAAACCAATTTTAACTAATTTTAATTATTTTTTTTTAATAAAACTATGATGACTAATGAATCTAAATGAAAATACATCAATTGAAAAAAATTTCTATAGCAACTTCAACTTATCAACAAAGTAAACTTGAAAATATGTTATCCAAATATATATTTTTTATTCAAACTACTAGAATTTTTTTTTAATAGCTGTTACAGTGACTTCCAGGTCATTTCCCAGAAAATTTTCTAATTATTAAATTTCTGTTGACAGGCTGCCTGAGCATAGGTGGACTAGTAATTGCATTGTCTCCATTCATCTCAGACGATTACACTCAACAAATGATCTGTGCTGGCCTGTTTGGCCTGTACACTGGTTCACTTGTGCCCTTGTCCTCTCTGATAACTATAGAGCTTTTGGGCATTGGAGAACTTGGATTGGGATTTGGATTTTTGTCCTTGTTTCAGGGCGTTGGCTACCTGCTAGGTCCACCTGTTGGAGGTAATATGTCTTCCTGATTGTTGGGTTTATGTTATTGATTATTGTACAGATATTTGATTTCCCCTGATTGATACAGAAAGCCTAGTGTATCCAACTTTCGTATGAAATTGGATCATCTCTTTTTTGCTAGAGGCTACTAATGCAAGGATTTTGTAGTTAAAAGCTTGAGAATATTTTAGGAAAAATTAACATGCTCTTATTTATTCTGTTGACTTTTATTTAAACTTATTTTAACTTCAAGTTTTATAATAGAAAACCACAGATTTGGAGAGTTATAGTTGCCTGTACCACTTTTGAGGTACATTGAAGCAAACTTTGTTTTCTACTCTGTACTTCTTCTTCTTCTTATGCCTTTTTACCCCGTCTGGGGCATAGGCGTCCACAAGAATTTTCCATTCATCACAGTCCTGTGCTTTTCTTTACAGTTGGTTCCAGGTGTATCCCATACTTTACGTGTCTGCCTCTAGCTTGCGTCACCATGTACTCTTTGGCCTTCCTCTCTTTCTTTTTCCCTTTGGATTCCATGTTAGGGATTGTCTAATGATGCTATCTTGTGGTTTTGGGGGACTATGCCCTATCCAACTCTATCTTTTCTTTATGATTTATTCATCAATGGGTACCTGGGAAGTCCTTTTTAGTAGATCTTTGTTGGTGATGGTATTTGGCCATTTGATGTTCAGGATCTTTGTAAAGCATCTGTTTATGAAGGTCTGTTCTTTCTGCTTAATGCTGGCTGTTGTTTTCCAAGTTTCTGCTCCATACAGTAAAACTTTTTTGACATTTGTGTTAAAGATTCTGACTTTGAGTTGCAGCTTAATCTCCTTTCACACCCATATTTTCTTTAATAGCACAAAGCTGATCTAGCTTTTCCAATTCTTACATCAGCGTTGGATCCGCCATTTATGTCGATGGTGCTGCATAAGTATGTGAAGGACTCCATTTTTTCCAGTGCATTTCCTGCCAGAGAGATTTTCTCTTGGTTAGCTGAGTTTACCTTCATGATCTTTATCTTGATTTTATTTATATTGATTCCGAGCTGTGCTACGTCTTTTGCATTGTTTGCTGGTTGTGGGACAGAAGTGCAATGTCTTCTGCAAAGTCTAGGTCATTAATTTGTTCCCAGAGTGTCCACTGTATCCCGTTTCTCTTTTTGCCTGTGAATTTTTTCATTAACCAGTCATTGGCGAGAATGAATGAGAAGAGGGACAAGAGACATCCTTGTCTGACTCCAGTTTCAACTTTAAATTCGTCTGTGAGTCTACCTTCGTGTACCACCCTGCATATCATTTCTTCATAAGAACTCTGAATGATCCAGACTAGTTTTCCTAGTGTTCCATGGGGCCTAAGAAGTTTCCACAAAGTTTGTCGATCCAGGCTATCAAAGGTCTGTACATATCACTATCAAATTTGTCCATGATTTAATCAAAACATTTTAATCATGCCCATCATTCTTTCATATTTCAGGTGTATTTGTGAAACTGGTTGGCTATGGAAACGCTCTCTCTATTTCAGGTGTGTAGCCCTTAACATAAATTATTTAAAAAATATGGTAAAACTTTTTTAAGGTAATTTTTTTTTGTAGCCAAAAGAGCAAAAATCTTATGTTGGAAATTTTATAAAAATTGTGTGTGTTAATCACATCTAGTAGACCTTGCTTACACTGTCTTTAGATCATAGCAATGTGTTAAATGCTCCTCATGCCATTTCTGTCACATACTATTCAGGTTGCATTGTGCTCTCTGCCAGTTTACTAGCTATGACTATACCCATTTTACTGAGGAATTCCCCAGAAATTGAAGATGATCACGATTCTTTAGATGACCTTGAGAGAGCTCTCAGGAGAATATCGGCTTCTGATGATGGGGATGGCAGCGATGAGGAGACCTCAACCCAGGACGAACAGGGTCAGAAACTTTTGCTGAGTGGATCTCAAAATCTAGCAGCTGTGTTCAAGAAGAAGGATGATGGTCAAGGAGGTCCTGAAACATCCCCACGCGATGCAAGTGTTACCATTTCAATAAAGGAAGATGCTCATGAGGTGATTCCTGAAGAGAAACCCTCAGAATTACCAACCATTGTGGAAGAAGCAGAGAAAAAGAGCCTTGGAGGGGATTTAGAATGATGAAATTTTTTTAAAGATCTGACATTTTCTCACACTTAGCGATGCAAGCTGCTGGTTTTTAGGCACTCGTTTCTGGATACAATAAATCATAAATATATTTTTTAATTATTTGAAATTATCAGAACTTGTTTATCTTTGCATAATTGTTGAAAACAAACCACTTATTTAAAAAATACTAATTTTCAGATCTGATGTTATATCTGTATCATTTCAGTAAATGTTCCTTTGGAAAAATAATAACATGGGAAGCATAAATTACTTTTCTGCATGTAATTTTTAATTAATTGTTAAAACATTAATACATATTTATAAAAATTAGTTATCATGAATCAAAATTGTAGATTCATTAAAAAAAAGATTTTAGCTGATTTCAACTAATTGTAATTATCCAGGGTTACATGAATGATGGTAGATAAAACATTTCATCAATTTTATTGTCAAAACAATCGAAATATTTAACTTTTGAAATCAGAAGTAGGGATAAACTGATGGTGAAAGGAGAAAGATTGTTCATAAAATTCTGTCTGCCCTGGGACATAATGGTTACACTGCTTGCTTTCAACCATAAAGTGGCAAGCTCCAATTCATCCAGTGCCATCCCCAGCTGTGATAATATTATCAATTGGAAGTAAGGCAAATAGTCCTTGGAATGAACTAAACTCAGAGCAAAGAAAATCCTTAACCTCCAAAGTTAGAAGAAAGCAGACAAGTTTGTGTGGGAATAAAAATTTGCCTAATGCCAAAATAACTGTTAAGCGACAGCAGTTGGAGCAAATAAAAAAATTTTTTTTTTAAATACTTTATAGAGCATAAATAAGAATTGTTCTTGATGGGTAGTTTTAATGTCAAATAATAATAATAGAGAAAATGCCGAAATAGCAAATATTTTTTATAAACTTTTGGTTGAATTTTTTAAAAGTCTTTTAATTTTCATTTACTGATTCAATTACAAATATTTTTACAAAACCAATTTAATAGTGAAATATAATCCTTTCCATTCACATGCAACCCCTACCACTAATGCAAGCGATACTGTGAATAAATTTATGTATATTGTGACAATAATATTATTTGGCTGCAGATTAAATTAATTGGATTTAAATGAAGATGCATTTTTTTTTTCATGTTGCTGTAAAAATATTTGCATTGAAGCTTTCATGTAACTGTCTGTTTGATTGATACAAAAACATTAGGTCCATGGTATGACGAAATGTGTACTTTGTATTCCATGTTTTGTAGCAATGTACTCATCAATTTCATTATTTATAGAATGAGATGTTTCCTTACTAGGTTTTTAAAATCATCTTATTTTTTTTAATTGCATAAGTTTATTTGTGTCTTTTACATAACAATTTTTAATGTTTAAGTAAGTTTATATAACAAATACACTTGACAATATTTGTTTTCCACATTCTCTTTTGGAGAATACTGAATTGTAATGCTATTTTTCCTGAACCATTTTTTAAAAAAAATCATTTAAGATACCTGATCTCCCAGTGACTTACCTGCATTGTTTTACCAATTTTAAAATATTTTTTTAGTGGCCTTTAATATTCCATTTGCTTTAAACCATCTTGCCACATTTGTTTTGGACTATTGTTATCAAGAATTAAATTTCACATTTTATTTTTTAAATTAAAAGTTGTGTTAATCTGTTTCAGAACTTTAATTGGAAATTCTATATCATTTTTCTTTAACCTCTGAGGATTTGGTTTTTCTGTTATACAAAATAAAAACTTTGCCTTTCTTATTATTTCAATATCACAGTTGCCCCACTACAGTGAATCTTTTAAACAATGGAATATTCCTGCTATATAAAAATACAGTTAAAAAATTTGTAACCGAGTAAACATTATTAGCCATTAGCATCGCTGTAAGTTTCCTTGCCATAAAGCAACATTGCAGTACTATGATTAAGATTAATTAGCTTTGACTTTTGGACTTTTGAAAAAAAAATATATTATGGTCTTTAAATTTAAACTTTTTTTTTTTTTTTTTTTTTAAATTTCAAACATTCACCATTAGAAATTCAAAATAATAAAATTCATTTTAAAAAATTTAAAATATAGCTCAAGTCAGATTTGAAATTTTACCGAGAGATTAACATATTTAACAGAGCTTTCATACCATTTTGGGTGTGGCTAATATTATTCAGAGGGCCAACCTTAGGATCAATTTTCAGCTTTTTATGATCTGTTTACAGAAAGTGCATTTATCAATATATAACATAAATGATACATTTATTATAAAATTTGCTATATCGTTTTATCCATTATTCCAGTTGACATTGTATGTTTATTGATTTATACCAATGTCTGTTCCTAGTACTGGTGATAATCTGTGAATACGGAAAAAAAATTACTGGCTTCTATATTATAAGTAAATTATTTTTTTTTAAAATTGGTTTGGTAAAAAAATTGTAGGCCTTTGATCATTGTTACATTAACTGAAATAAATATTTATGATAGCACAGGCGCTCTTGCTCTGTGCAGTTGCATAATAAAATGTCATGTTCATGGGAATAGGTCATAGGTCAATGTTTTTGTTATGCTACTCCTGCCTGAGCTTCCTATATCCTGCCATCACTTTGTTGTTTGAAACTGTGGTTACAGGAGATGTGCACAACACACTTCAATGTTGTTGAAATCAAATCACAAGGCATGCGTGAAAGTAGTAATAGTAATGATATCTATCAGGTGGAGGCAACAAAGTTTATTATGAGGATTATAAACAGAGACTTCCTGCAATTATAATTTTAAGCTAATGCATTTTATTATGTTAAATAAAGTACGCAAGTATTAGGCTGCCTCAAAGAAGGTCTACTTCTCCAAAGTTAAGTACCGTCTGTAAGACATTCTTTTCTAAGATGTCTCTATTCCTATAACCACTTGGCCTTTGTTTCTTTATAAAAACAAACATTTAAACTAAAAGTCCTATAATCTATTTTCTTAGCTAACACTTTGGCATGTGCATTTCATGTATAAACGGTCAACATGAAACTCAAAAAAAATTTTTTTAACTATTAGGAAGTTTGCAAAAACCTTGTTTTTAAATCTTTCAGTGTCTTCAAATACCTTAAATGCACATTTAAATTTTAGCCCCCCAAAATATTAATACATTTCTGGAGCATAAGTTAATCACACTTGTATGAAAATGTTAAATCTGGAAAATATTTTAGTATATGTAAATCAAATTCTTTTGCAGAGTTTACAGTTTTATCATGGAGCCTCAAAAACTCTTTTTCTATGCATTGTGATGGTAAATGTTACTTGTATCTTTTTTTCAATTATTCATTCCTTTTTATAATATCAATGTACATATTAAATTATGACAATTTATGTATATAATTTTTTAGGCAAGTTAATTAGTAAACATGTAGAGGGAAATTAACTTCAGGTCTCTCATGACACAACAAGAAATTAACCAATTCAGTGTGGGGTGTTTTTTGTGACCACTGGCTGAAAGCTCTGCTGTTGTCTTTGTTTATCATTGTGTTCCTACCCACATATCGAAGTTGTTAAAAAAATAAAAGTGACACACTTTTTAATTCAATGCTTTTTTTGTGTGTGTGGTTTAAATCATTTTGTTATTTTTATGTACTACAGTGGAAAATTTCTTTTTAACAAATTTTATTTTAAAATCACTATTATCATATGTTTAAATTATGATCATGGATAAATGTTGTGGAAATGGAGATTTCATGAAACTGAGATTTTCATTAACCGTATTGCACAAATGAAATGGTTCATTCACTTGGAGATTTATGCACAAAGCTTTACAATTAAATGTAGTGAGGGTATGGATTGTAGTGTAGTAAAAAAAACAAAAAAACACAAAAAGTTGTTTCAAAAAGTGTTTAAAAACTTTTGGCAATTGACTGGAACTCATGTAACAATCGAATTTATTACATAAAAGTTGAAGACAACATGGTCATTATGATCTTATAAGTTTAAGCCACTAACTTCAGATTTACATTTACAAACTTAAAATTTGCCTTTGAACAACTGATTTTTATGTATCTTTAAAAATGTTAAAATCTTTTAAACTAGGCTAGATTTAAATTATTTTACTTTTATCTGATATCTTAGTGAGTTCGGTGGTGAATCTCCATATTGTTAGATGATTATTTCTTGGTTGATGTTTAGAGGTTTGGCATTATAAATTAAAAGTTACAGGGTTTTAATAATACTGAAAATTTGCTGTTACATCTGAGGATGAATCTATTTAGCAATGCGTTTATAACTTTTAGTCTTTGAAGGGTAAAATAATTTTAAGCAGCTCACAAGTTGTTCTTATAAATTATTAGAACAGAATTGGACAGTTTTGTATCATGTATCACTAACTTACTGAACCTCATAACTATAAACTTGTAGTTTATCTGTCAGCTCATTTTTTAACTATACTTTAGCTAAATTTTTTGTAAATTTTTATCTATAGATTCCATTTTTCTAAAAAAAAATTTCATCATGTTCATGAATCTGAACTATTAATTTGTGTACCGGGTAATAATTTTTTAATGGCACTTCCTTCTGTCTTCTTTTCTCTGGGTAAACACATCGCTATGTAATTTTTACATTTACAGTTTTTGTATTTTTAAAGTCAAATGTAAGAGCACTGAATTTTAATTAGCATAACTTTAAAGCGTAATGTTTTTCAACATATATGTTTCCAAAATACCATTCTTGTCCCAAAAATAGCCCTGCATGTCATTGTTGGTGTAGAATAATGTGTTCTTAGTTTATCTTTGTCTCAGCAGTCTACAGGCAGCCCAACAACTTATGGGTGAGCTGATATTGTATATTATGCACTCTATTGAGTAACTATTTTAAATTGATTTTTAAAACTTAAATAAATATTAGTATGTTATTAATATGTTTGTAACTTGTGGTAATCATTATTGCAGAAATATTATTTTAGATAGATCAATACTCGTGCTATGATTTTTAGTCATAGAATTCATACAATTTGATTACTAAATCAATTATGACATTACAGCTGTT